TGTATGCTGGATTGCACTATTTCACTATATTAAGGGGAGAGGGCGCCTTCACACACATATTCGGTGTGAAATATTTTCCGCCCACAAGCGGAGCGCTTCGGCGCCTCTGCGAAGCAAAGCGCGGCATTCAAAAACAACAACCAAAATTGCCGTCGCTTCCCTGCCCTGCAATGGCTGGAGCAGAAGGAGAGAGATTTTAGTCTCATTGGATCAGAGGAATGGCAGTGGAGCGGGCTTATGGGGCGTAGGCTCGCGATCTATCAATTACACTTGCCAGGTCTCTCTTCCGTTTGGACATTATTTACTCCGTCTCTCTCTCGGCACACACGTCGCCACCCTACTAGTTTCCATCACAGCTGTCTGCTGTCTGCCCAACTTAGCGGACTTGCGTTGGCTGATCAACCCGTCTTCGCGTCTGTGCCGGCCTTCAATGCAGCGCCCAACCGTCTCTTGACCGAGATTCATTGCACTATTCCACGCGCAAACGGCTACCCTAAATGTGCATAGACAACGCTCATGGTTCAACACGACCAGGGCGCAGTCTGGGAGCCGAGTATACTAAAAAGAGAGTTTAGCAGCCAAAACTCGTCAAAGCACACGTTGGGTTACCCCATCACCTAACAACGATGATGGCGGTTCCCACCCGTGAAATACACAACCTAACCAATATTGGGCGACGATGGCGCTCATGAGCCCACGCCCCCACAAACAGTAAGAGAAAGAGAGAGAGGAGGAGATGGGCCAATGTGCGGTCCCTCGCCCAATGTCTTATGCCTCGCTGGGGCAAAGAGAAGAGAAGAGGAGCGGAGAAGGGAGGAGATTGGCCAACGTGCGGTCCCTCGCCCAATGTCGGCTGCCTCGCTGGAGCTGGGTAAAGAGGAGAGGAGCGGATAAGGGAGGAGATTGGCACACACGGTGGCGCTGCCGGCGCCGAGGATAGCAAGAGAAGGTGCAGTTTGATCTGATCATCTGGTTTGCTATTTCTCTAAGGCCAACGTGCGGTCCCTCGCCCAATGTCGGCTGCCTCGCTGGGGCAAAGAGAAGAGGAGAGGATAAGGGAGGAGATTGGCACACACGGTGGCGCTGCCAGCGCCGAGGATAGCGAGAGAAGGTGCAGTTTGATCTGATCATCTGGTTTGCTATTTCTCTAAGGCCAACGTGCGGTCCCTCGCCCAATGTCTTCTGCCTCGCTGGGGCAAAGAGAAGAGGAGTGGATAAGGGAGGAGATTCGCCAACGTGCGGTCCCTCGCCCAATGTCGGCTGCCTCGCTGGAGCTGGGGCAAAGAGGAGCGGATAAGGGAGGAGATTGGCACACACGGTGGCGCTGCCGGCGCCGAGGATAGCAAGAGAAGGTGCAGTTAGATCTGATCATCTGGTTTGCTATTTCTCTAAGGCCAACGTGCGGTCCCTCGCCCAATGTCTTCTGCCTCTCTCTCAATCTCACTATTTTGGCCGCCGTGATAGGCGCCGCCAACAGCAGCAGCTACCCGGTTGATCCTGCCAGTAGTCATATGCTTGTCTCAAAGATTAAGCCATGCATGTGTAAGTACAAGCCGATTTAAGGCGAAACCGCGAATGGCTCATTAAATCAGCTATGTTTCATTGGATCTGTAAACCCACTTACTTGGATAACTGTGGCAATTCTAGAGCTAATACATGCAATTGGTCTCTGACCGCAAGGGAAGAGCGCTTTTATTAGTTCAAAACTGGTCGGGCCCCGGTCCGTAACCCACCTGTGGTGAATCTGAATAACTTCGGGCTGAGCGCACGGTCTCGGCACCGGCGCCGCTTCTTTCAAGTGTCTGCCTTATCAGCTTTCGATTGTAGGTTATGCGCCTACAATGGCTATAACAGGTAACGGGGAATCAGGGTTCGATTCCGGAGAGGGAGCCTGAGAAACGGCTACCACATCTAAGGAAGGCAGCAGGCACGCAAATTACCTACTCCCGGCACGGGGAGGTAGTGACGAAAAATAACGATGTGAGTCTCATCCGAGGCCTCGCAATCGGAATGAGTACACTTTAAATCCTTTAACGAGTATCCATTGGAGGGCAAGTCTGCGCCAGCAGTCAGCGTAATTCCAGCCCAATAGCGATATTAAAGTTTTTGCTGCGTAAGTAAGTGCTCAGGTTGATCTCAGTTCGACTGACGTGCACCGCCTTCCGTGTTTACTGTCACGCCCGAACAAAGCCGGGCCTCGCTACGTTCGCCGCACGGATGCTTCTTTGTCGAAAGTGTCCCAGGCCGGAGAGTTTACTTTGAAAATTAGAGTTTCAGAGCAGGCTATTTGAATGGCCCGAATGGTGATGCATGAATAATGGAATAGACCTCGGGTTCTATTTTGTTGGTTTTCGAACCAAAGAGGTAATGACTAATCGGAACAGGCGGGGCATTCGGGATTAAGTGACGCTTAGAGGTGAACACTCTGGACCGGGCTGCAAGACTTAACTACTGCTAAAGCATTTGCCAAGGATGCTTATTAATCAAGAACGAAAGTTAGAGGTTCGAAGGCGATCAGATACCGCCCTAGTTCTAACCATAAACGATGCCAACTAGCGATCCGCCGGCGTTATTCCCATGACCCGGCGGGCAGCTTCCGGGAAACCAAAGTCTTTGGGTTCCGGGGGAAGTATGGTTGCAAAGCTGAAACTTAAAGGAATTGACGGAAGGGCACCACTAGGAGTGGAGCCTGCGGCTTAATTTGACTCAACACGGGAAACCTCACCAGGCCCAGACACCGGAAGGATTGACAGATTGAGAGCTCTTTCTCGATTCGGTGGGTGGTGGTGCATGGCCGTTCTTAGTTGGTGGAGCGATTTGTCTGGTTAATTCCGATAACGAACGAGACTCTGGCCTACTAAGTAGTCGACGGATCTCCAGAAAATGGTGTCCAGTTCGCAACTTCTTAGAGGGATAAGCGGCAATTCTAGCCGCACGAGATTGAGCAATAACAGGTCTGTGATGCCCTTAGATGTTCTAGTCAAGACGCGCTACACTGAAGGGATCAACGAGTTTTCCCTCCGAGAGGAGCGGGTAACCTGCTCAAAGCCTTCTTGATAGGATTGGGGCTTGCAATTGTTTCCCATGAACGAGGAATTCCCAGTAAGTGCAAGTCATCAGCTTGCGCTGACTACGTCCCTGCCCTTTGTACACACCGCCCGTCGCTACTACCGATTGAATGATTTAGTGAGGCCTTCGGACTGGCGCTCTTGGATTGTCGGCCCCGTTGCCCGCGAGGGTTTTCTGGGGTCGTCGCCTCGAGCTGACGGAAAGATGTCCAAACCTGATCATTTAGAGGAAGTAAAAGTCGTAACAAGGTTTCCGTAGGTGAACCTGCGGAAGGATCATTAACAGAGAGAAAGAGAACGGGGCGCTCTTAAAACTACTACTACTCTCCTGATTTGGGCGGTCTCGGGCTCTGCTCTGGCAACTCCAGCAGCGAAAGAGGACAATCCCGGCCCCCGCACCAAAAATAGGTACCACCACGCTGTAGGTGGCCCACACTCGGGCGAGAGCGCGAAGACCGGAGGAGGAGGACGGACGGGGCTTTGGACGGCTGCCCGTCCGTTCCTTACTACCGGCGAATAAGCCTCTTGACCCAAAAAGAGTGAAATTCAAGTGTCAAAAACAACAACAAGCCGTCCGGCCAAACCCAAACCACAAACTTGGGCTATGTCTGTCAAACCCTTTCATTGAGACTCGACCTGTGATGGTTAGTCGCAAAAAGACCAAATGGCAAATACACAACTCTAACGGGGATCACTCGCTCGGTCGATGAAGACCGCAGCAAACTGGCGCGGTCGGGTATGTGAATCGCAAGAATACCAGGATACATCGATGTTGAACGATACGCGCGGCGCAGCCATATGAGCTTGTCGCCGCATTTCACGAGGGTCGAAATATACATCCATCGGTTGCTGCGAAGTTCGGGTGCCTGCTGACTGTCTCCCCGACACGAGGGTAACCCTAACCGAGCTTCCGCCTTGGGGTTTAATCGCCCGCGCCTTGCGCGAGGCGTGCCCTTAAAAACAAGCAAGCCTATCACTAGCAAGTCCATGGACTTGGCGCACCCACATTCAACCACAACAAAGCGACAGTTGTCGCCCTCGCAAATAACTGGAGGCGGCGCTCTTTTGCCTGCTGTCCACAGAGACACGAATGGCCGTCGGCCGCTCATGGCTGATGCTGCACATGTTCTAAGAGGCACTCCATCCCACGAAGAGGAAACGAAACCGGGTCGGATATCTTTTAAGTAAGCCCCGCCGGAATTTCGTCTATCACC